GTGTGGGTGTGATTGTGGGTGTGAGTGTAAGTGTGGCTGTGGGTGTGGCTGTGCTGTGGGTGTAGCTGTGGCTTTGGCTGTTGCTGTGGCTGTGTCTGTGGCTGTAGCTGTGGGTGTGGGTGTGCTGTGGGTGTTGCCGTGGCTGTAATTGTGAGTGTGGCTGTGGGTGTGGCCGTGGCTGTGGTTGTGCTGTGGGTGTGTTTGCCCTCGAGGTGGGATCCCCACGGGTGTTTTTCCCCCCCAGGGATGAACAAGGGGGCGGTGCTGGCCGGGGTCATCGGGGCCAGGAAGCCGCACTACGACATCTGGGGCAACACCGTCAACGTGGCCAGCAGGATGGAATCCACCGGCGTCATGGGGAACATCCAGGTGGGGGGAGGGGGAAAAAACACCAGGGAGGGAATTCCAGAGCCTTTGGAAGGGGATGGGAATGTGTGGGATGGCCCTGGGTAGGTGGGAGGGAAGGGACTTTAAACCCCATCCCGATCCAACCCCGGCACCTCCCGCTGTCCCAGGGGATCCAGCCCGGCCTGGGACACTGCAGGGATCATCCAGGGGCAGCCACAGCTTCCCTGGGAATTCCAGCCCAGCCCATCCCAAGCTCCCTCCCCCCGGTTCTGGGCAGACCTGTTGCCCATCCCATGAGCGAACCCTCCCCGTTCCTCCCCCGCCCCTTTTCCTCCCTTTTCCCGCTGTTCCCATCGCCATCCCCATCCCCGCAGGTGGTGGAGGACACTCAGCTCATCCTCAAGGATTTCGGATTCCGCTTCGTGCGCCGCGGGGCCGTTTACGTCAAGGGCAAGGGGGACCTGCTCACCTTTTTCCTGAAGGGACGGGAAAAACCCGGATACTCCGACACCGGAGCCGCCGTGCCCCTCCCACACCAGGTCCTGGACAGCTCCTGACCGGCAAAAACCAGGAAAAACCAGGAAAAAATGGGATCTGCCTCCTCCCTGCCCCTCCTACACCAGGTCCTGGACAGCTCCTGACTGGCAAAAACCGGGAAAAGCCGGGAAAAAACGGGATCTGCCTCCTCCCTGCCCCAACAGGTCTTGGACAATTCCTGACTGGGAAAAACTGGGAAAAACCGAGATCTGTTTCCTCCCTGCTCCTCCCCCACCAGGTCCTGGATAATTCCTGACCACAAAAAACTGGGAAAAAAATGGGATCTGCCTCCTCCCTGCCCTTGCCCTACCAGGTCCTGGACAGCTCCTGACCGGCAAAAAGAAACCGGGAAAAACTGGGAAAAACCGGGATCTGCTTCCTCCCTGCCCCTCCCACACCAGGTCCTGGACAATTCCTGACCAGGAAAAACTGGGAAAAATCGGGATCTGCCTCCTCCCTGCCCCTGCCCTACCAGGTCCTGGACAATTCCTGACCACGAAAAACCGGGATAAAACAGGTCCTGGAGAATTCCTGACCATCCCAAACCGGGAAAAACCACCCCATTATCCCCCCCCCCCAAACACACCCAAACAAATAAATCGGGAATGTCCGTCCCGCCGGGATCCCACAGGAAAAACCCGCCCGGGATGGATCCAACCCCTCCTCCTCCATCCCATCCCTGGATCCCATCCTTGGATCCCATCCCATCCCTGGATCCCATCCCTGGATCCCATCCCTGGGGGTTTTTTTTCCAGAGGGAAATCCACGGGGTGGTTCGTGTGTTCCCGACATTCCCATCCCGGCTTCTCCCACGCGGGAATTGCGGGGGGGGAGGGGGGAGGTAAAAAAAGGGAGCGGCTGGGATCGGGGAGCGCTTGGAATCAGAAGCAGCGGGAATTCCAGAGGGTGATTCCCGGGCTCGTTTGTCCTGGGGGTGGGGGGAATTGGATCCCGGGAATGCTTTTCCAAAGGGTTTGGAGGAATCCTGGGATTTGGGGACGGGGGGGATTTTCGGGCTCATCCCATTCCATGGGATCATTCCCAGCCATCCCAGCTCCCTGGAAATCCTGGAATTCCGGCCTGGAAGGGATTTTGGGGCTCATCCCATTCCAATGGAATTATTAAGGAGGGAATTATTAATGAGGGAATCATTAATTAGGGAATTATTGACGAGGGAATCATTAATTAGGGAATTATAAATTAGGGAATGAGTGAGGGAATTTTTAATGATGGAATTATAAATTAGGGAATTATTAGTGATGGAATTATTAATTTGGGAATTATTAATTAGGGAATTATTAGCGAGGGAATTAATAATCGAGGAATTATTAATTATTAAATTATTAATTATGGAATTAATTATAGAAATAATAATTATGGAATTACAAATTCTGGAATTGTTAATGATGGGATTATTAATGAGGGAATTATTAATGATGGCGTTATTAATGAGGGAATTCTAAATTAGGGAATTATTAATTAGGGAATTATTAGTGATGGAATTATTAATTCTGGGTTAATGATGGAATAATTATTTGGGGAATTATAAATCATGGAATTATTATGATGGAATTATAAATGATGAAATTATAAATTATGACATTATTAATTCTGGAATTATTAGTTATGGAATTAATTAAGGAATTATTGATGATCGAATTATTACTTAGGGAATTATTAATGATATTAATGATGGAATTATTAATTATGGTATTATAAATCAGGGAATTATTAAGGAATTATTGATGGAATGATTAATGATGGTAATATTAATTATGGTATTATTAATTAGAGAATTATTAATTAGGGAATTATTAATGATGGAATTATTAAGGAATTATTAATTCAGGAAATATCAATGATATTTATTAGGGAATTATTAATGAGGGAATTATAAATTCTGTAATTATTAATGATGGAATTAATAATGATGGAATTATTAATGAGGGAAATATTAATGAGGGAATTTTTAATGATGGCATTATTAATTAGGGAATTATTAATTCTGGAATTATTAATGATGGAATTAGCAATTCTGGAATTATTAATGATGGAATTAGCAATTATATTAATGATGGAATTATTAATTACAGAATTATTAATTACAGAATTATTAATTACGGAATTATTAATTATGGGGTTATTAGTTATGGAATTATTAATTATGGAATTATTAACGATGGAATTATTAATTAGGGAATTACTAATTAGGGAATTATTAATTGCACCTGGAACTGAAGGAAAACCGGGAATTTCCGAGGGGGGAAACCAAAAACAACCAAAAAAAAGGGAATTTTTGTTTTTTTCTTTCCTTGAATTTTGGGAATGGGAAACTCGGCCGGGAAAACCAGGAACAGGAGCCCCTTTTTTTGGGAATGAACTCCCTGTGCTCCCTCCTTTTTTTTTTGGGAATGATTCCACACTTCCTTTTTTTTTTGGGAATGAACTCCATGTGCTCCCTTCTTTTTTTTTTTGGGAATGATCCACTGGAAATCCTGGAGTTTCAACACCATTTCCCACCGGAAATCCCGGAATTCCGACACCGTTTCCCACCGGAATTCCCAGAATGATTTCCCACTCCAAATCCCAGAATTCCGACTCCATTTCCTACAGGAAATCCTGG